TAGCTCCCAGGTACCTATTTACTGCTAGGTAACAGGGGCATTCAGGGTGAAAGAAACTTTTGCCTATTTGTTTCTGCCTCGTGCGGGAATCGAACCCGCGGCACAGAATTACGAATCCTGCGCGCTATCCACCAGGCTACGAGGCCCCCAGGCCTCGTAGCCTCGCGTAGCCTCGCAGCACAAAGAGGTTATCTTGAGTTATCTTGAGATGATTTCGGGGCTTTTTAGTGTCCCTGCGGCAAGGTCCTTGACCAGGCCTCCACCCCCAAGAAGCAGCCCGTGACAGCTGACTAACACCCAGGTACCTATTTTACTACTGTTAGGCTGTTAACAACAATAACTTCCTTCCCTCCATGACCGAGGAGAGATGTACTGGCTGAGCCGATGAGGAGAAAACGTCAGTATCACGGGGGTTGTAATTTGTACAAATACGTCGCATTTTTTGACGAATTGGTTTATTGCGTCCAAAGTAGGACCTAGTAGGCGAGAGGACGGGTTGAGGCGCGCCACGACACAGAGGCTCCACTACTCAAGGTCGGAAGTGTTCACGCAAGAGTGTACGGCTGCTCCAACTTCCTGTGTCCCACCATTTAAGCTGGACGGTAGAGCGACGGCCTCGCTTCATGCAGGTCGGCGTTCAATCCCCGACCGTCATAAGTGGTTGGGCACCATTCATTTCCCCGTCCCATCCCAAATCCTTATCCTAACCACTTCCCAGTGTTATATAGAACTTAACAAAGGGGATATTAATAGGGGTATTAAAAGTATCAACACAAGACAGAACACGAAACAATGGGAATAAATTGGATAAGTTTAGATTTAGGAAAGACTTGGGTAAATACTGGTTCGGTAATAGGGTTGTTGATTTGTGGAATCAATTACCGCGTAACGTGGTGGACGTGGGGTCCCTCGAGTGTTTCAAGCATAGGTTGGATGGGTACAAGTAGGATTGGGTGGGTATAGATAGGAGCTGCCTCGTATGGGCCAATAGGCCTTCTGCAGTTACCTTTGTTCTTATGTTCTTATAGTCATAATGGCTTAACGCTTTCCCCTGAAAATTCCGTTCCCTTCCAACTTCCTGTTTCCACTCAACGGCTCCTTCAGAATCACATCCTGGACCCTCGGGCCATGACCCGTCAAGCATTTACACAACCAGTTACGAAACCCGTTCATCTTTCCTCAGTCATGGCGGCTTTGTTTACACTTATTAAACAGTTTATGAGCACCGAAGCACTACGAGGTAGTCTATAACAATAATAAACCCGAGTTGTGAGGTTTCCAAGCTGGTAAACTGTTTACTATATGTAAACACAGGCGCCATAATGTACAGGTGATATGTATATCTTTCACAAATTAACAAACGTGATATGACTTCATCTTTGCCCTTTCTCTTATTCTTATCTCTTTCTCTTACTCCCCCCTTTTCTTATTCCTACCTTCCTGTTATTCTCATCCTACTATTACCTCTTACCTTATTCTTATCTCTTTCTCTTACTCCCCCCTTTTCTTATTCCTACCTTCCTGTTATTCTCATCCTACTATTACCTCTTACCTTATTCTTATCTCTTTCTCTTACTCCCCCCTTTTCTTATTCCTACCTTTCTGTTTTTCTCATCCTACTATTACCTCTTACCTTATTCTCATCCTCTTACCTGTCCCATCACCTCCCATCTCTCTCACTTGCCTTATTTATTTGTCTATACGTTCCTCCTCTTCTATCTATGACTGGCGCTATAATTGCTTGCTTGTGTTCAACGTTACATCCCAGAACCATCACCAGGTAAATTCCAGGTATACTGCAGGTATACCACCTACCTCTGCCTCTTCAAAGTATCTAAGTTTTGATATCTTGGTGTGTTTTGTGGCTCGACTCCCACTCTGGCACCTTAGGCGGGACAGACATGGTTGGGCACGTTTCATTCACCCAATGCCTCTGTTCACCTAGCAGTAAATGGGTATCTTGAGGTTATCTTGAGATGATTTCGGGGCTTTTTTTAGTGTCCCCGCGGCCCGGTCCTCGACCAGGCCTCCACCCCCAGGAAGCAACCCGTGACAGCTGACTAACACCCAGATACCTATTTTACTGCTAGGTAACAGGGGCATAGGGTGAAAGAAACTCTGCCCAATGTTTCTCGCCGGCGCCTGGGATCGAACCCAGGACCACAGGATCACAAGTACCCGTGAGTTAGGAAACAGTTGCGGGGCTGAATCCCGGGGGAGGGTCTGTAGTTCCACTCTGTTGGGGGGGGGGGTTGGCCTCGATACAAGCTTCAATTGTATCGTTCGTGTGTGTGTACTTACTTAATTGTACTTGTGTATCCAATGGAGTACATTCCCTTTTACTCCAGCCTGCATGTTCAGGTTTGGAAATGTACACATACACACACACTTTTGTGTGTGTGTATGTGTGTGTGTGTGTGTGTGTGTGTGTGTGTGTGTGTGTGTGTGTGTGTGTGTGTGTGTGTGTGTGTGTGTGTGTGTGTTTACTAGTTGTGTTTTTACGGGGGTTGAGCTTTGCTCTTTCGGCCCGCCTCTCAACTGTCAATCAACTGTTTACTAACTACTATTTTTTTTTCCACACCACACACACACACACCCCAGGAAGCAGCCCGTGACAGCTGACTAACTCCCAGGTACCTATTTACTGCTAGGTAACAGGGGCATTCAGGGTGAAAGAAACTTTGCCCATTTGTTTCTGCCTCGTGCAGGAATCGAACCCGCGCCACAGAATTACGAATCCTGCGCGCTATCCACCAGGCTACGAGGCCCCTAGCCTGGGGCCCCTAGCCTGGGTGTGTGTGTGTGCGCGCGCGCGCACACACACACACACACACACACACACACACACACACACACACACACACACACACACACACACACACACAGGCTTCCTCTCCCAGCACAACGCATTATTATGAACACACTTACCTGTCCGTTCAATAATTCAATTTACCACTGGAATTGTCAATACATGAACTAGTTCACCCCGTCGACCGTCACTTACCCTCCACGAGAGAGAGAGAGAGAGAGAGAAGGGAACACCCTGCCCCTCCCTCCTTCCCTCCCTCTGGTCAAGCCAGCCAGCTGCCGGCCAGGAGCCACCTGCCAGCTGGACAGCTCACCACCAACAGGTAAAGGCTGCCAGCCAGGGGAACGTACCTGGTGGAGAAGCAAACACAACCATTAATGACCCTCACAAGAGCCTACCACCACAAAATTATCCTGAAACACAGAACATTATTATCAATGTATTAGACTCTGACCTACCTCCCTCTGGTGGTAGGAACCCCAAGGAAGGTGACTTATGTCAATACTATACCAACTCTGTACCATACAACATTATCACACATACCCACCAGGATCCACAGGGGATATTATGCCTTAAATCAACGCTGGTGGATGAGAGAGATTGTGCCTTAAGTACCCTGTAGTTGAACCTGGGGGAACGATGTCCCAGATATCCTGGCAGAGAAGACAATACTGAAGGTCCTCTCTCTCAAACACGGTCACCCCGGCTGCTTAACACACACACACACACACACACACACACACACACACACACACACACACACACACACACACACACACACACACACACACACACACACACATACACTAATGTACTACCTGAATACTAATCCCACAACCCGTGTGTTTAATGCTTGCTAGGCTCTTGGTCCTTCAGCGACCACAACACTATCTCTGTCCGGGTTTACTGCACGATAATGGTTTAACAATGTCACAAGTGGTTTAGTGTTAACGTTTTACCATTGTCACGACAAACCAATAATTAGATATTTGAAAATCTACAATGTGGTCGTGGCGGCCACACCCGAGGGCGTTACCTTGATCTAAACGTGTACAGAGGTCTTTATCATTCAGTGGTAAGACACAAGTGCTACATCAGGTGTCTCTTGCCTCCAGCTGACAACACTTGTTAAGGGTAGTGTACGCCAGCAGGGAGGAGCTACACTCTCCCAGGTGTGGTTCACTAGGTGTGACACACTCCCAGGTGTGGTTCACTAGGTGAGACACACTCCCAGGTGTGGTTCACTAGGTGTGACACACTCCCAGGTGTGACACACTCCCAGGTGTGGTTCACCAGGTGTGACACACTCCCAGGTGTGGTTCACCAGGTGTGACACACTCCCAGGTGTGGTTCACTAGGTGTGACACACTCCCAGGTGTGGTTCACTAGGTGTGACACACTCCCAGGTGTGGTTCACCAGGTGAGACACACTCCCAGGTGTGGTTCACTAGGTGTGACACACTCCCAGGTGTGGTTCACTAGGTGTGACACACTCCCAGGTGTGGTTCACCAGGTGTGACACACTCCCAGGTGTGGTTCACTAGGTGTGACACACTCCCAGGTGTGGTTCACCAGGTGAGACACACTCCCAGGTGTGGTTCACTAGGTGTGACACACTCCCAGGTGTGGTTCACCAGGTGAGACACACTCCCAGGTGTGGTTCACCAGGTGTGACACACTCCCAGGTGTGGTTCACCAGGTGAGGTTAGTAGAGGACAAACAACACAACTACCAGCTGGAGACATGCTCCTCGGCCTCGGGGTTACACATGCCCAGTTTACATGTGACCAATGTACCCTTTAAGGCAAAACACACAATATAATTCACACATCTTTGTATCACCAACACTAACTTCCGGTAACTGTGATGCAAGAACCTAATTGAACTAACTACGGATAACTTGATATCTTCATTACCACTTTGTTGTTAGTGCAACAGATGCATTATAGAGTAAAGCTATCTATCACCACGCTTCACTACTGGCGCACAGCACTAGACGCTAAGATACATCACTCATGTTAGTCGGGAGTCACACAGGTGAGAAGCCGCTGTTTACAACAAGGAGTAGGAGGCTAAGGTTGAGGAGGGGTTGATGGGGGTTACAGCGGGGCTGGGCGGGGAGGTGTTGGGGCTTCTGCCTCCTGTTGGGGGCGAGACACCGGGGTTCCCATGCCCTGCCTCACGCCAGTACCTGATGGAGGGATCCTTGTTGGATCTGGTGACGGAGATCGTCGGGGACGCCGATGGCACCAGAGGCGCCGATGACCCCATATCCACGGACGGAAAGGAACCGATGCCCACCATTTTGGCGGGTGGCATGCCAAGGGCGGGCGGTGGCGTGTGAGGTGGAGGCGTGTGCACAGGCGTGAGAGCTCTGGGCGTGTGTGATGGAGGCGTGTGGTGCATCATGGTGGCCGCCGTGCCCAGGGGCAGGGCCATGGGCAGGTCTGGCGGCCCAGGGAACACGCCACAGGACAGCGCCAGTGCCAGTCCATCAAAACTGTGGACCACAACAACTTCTTCTCAGACACAAATTCACACCAGAACCACAGATTACTTACGTCTAAAGCAATAATTAGTGCACGTCTTACATTTGTCTAACAGGTAATTAAGAAGCAAATTGGATTGATTAAAAACATGTTGACTACAGTAAAAACTCTTTTATTCATAAAGGAAAAATTATTTTGGGGCATAAAGGAATATACAATGTGTTAACAAGACAATAAAACACAATAATACACACACACACACACACACACACACACACACACACACACACACGAACACACACAATAGGCTCATGAACCTGTACACCTGTTGATTGACAGTTGAGAGGCGGGTCCAAAGAGCCAGAGCTCCAGCCCCCGCAAGCACAACTGAGTACGTACACACACACACACACACACACACACACACACACACACACACGCACACGCACACACACGCACGCACGCACGCACACACACACACGCACGCACGCACGCACGCACGCACGCACACGCACGCACGCACGCACGCGCACAGACACACACACACACACACACACACACACACACACACACACACACACACACACACACACACACACACAATACTCGCCAGCTTGAGATAACAGTAAGCCCTTAGCTTGAGGATGTTTCAATTTAGCGCTCCGTAAAAAACACAACCTTCTTGTCTAACCAGACGGTACATAACACGACAATTATCCGTAAGTAATATGACTTATTATAATATTTCCCTAACCAAAAACGCATGAACCCAAGCAACCCACCTAACCAATCAAGGCTGATGCACAGAAAACGTAACTAGTACAATGCATTAATTTGACCCAATGCGTCGGATTTTGAACGCAATGGTAAATTCCTTTAAAAAAAATGTAATAGACTAAATTCTAATACATTAAGATACCCCCCTCAAATGACTACGGTGCCAGACCTTGAGTGCCAGGCCGGGTAAACTAACCACTCGCATCAAGAACAACCTTCAACCAGCTAACAACCTTCAACCAGCTAACAACCTTCAACCAGCTAACAACCTTCAACCAGCTAACAACCTTCAACCAGCTAACAACCTTCAACCAGCTAACAACCTTCAACCAGCTAACAATCAACACCAAACACAGTTGACATACGCAATTCAAGCAGGAAGTGACTCTTTGTGTGTGTATGCGCTCCTTGTGCAACCTTGAGAAGCTGAAATAACACTTCCCGCCAACAATTTTGAAACGAACACTTTTTGGGCTACGTTTGTACGACGTGTTCGTCAGCGGTGAGCGGAGGTGAGGCAGCTGCTCTATAATTGAGTTTTTCACACCTCTCAGGTAATGGTGTTCGGACATGTATCACCACTGTGGTGGTGCTTCAGTGACGGTACAGGCATGGTCACTACAACCCTACCACGACTTAGGTGGGTTTGTCCACGTGGGTTTACCACGATGGGTTTACCCAAGTGAGTTTACCTAGGTTAGTTTACATAGATGAGTTTACCCAGTCGAGTTTACGTGTGTGTGTTTACATAGACGAGTTTACCCAAGCGGGTTTACCTAGATGGGTTTGCATAAGTGAGTTTACCTAGGTTTCTGCGCGTCTGGCTAGGGGAAATCAGCTCGATTTTGACACCTGGTTGATGGGGTTCTGGGAGTTGTTCTACTCCCCAAGCCCGGCCCGAGGCCAGGCTCGACACTTGTCTTATGGTGAGAAACATGTGTGGTGTTAACCGCGGACCTCTGTGATGCACTTGTTTTCCCAACACACACATCCGGAAAATAACTTTCTGGAGTCAAAATGTACTCCACAGACGGTCTCCAAAGGTGGTGAAGTGTACAGAAACACCTTTGTAAATACTGCTTTTGTAATATTCTAGCTAATTTCTGAAACAAATTACCTGCTTGCATAACAGGCGTGGGCTCCCGGGGATTGTTTCGAGCGCAGGCTAGACATAATATATAAATCAGTGAGGCTGGCTATAAATAAAAGCTGCCTGGTATGGGCCAATAAACCTATTTCAGTTTCCTGTAGTGTTATGTTATTAAAGATGTCTAAGGGAAACACGGGCAGCAGTCTAGGGAAATACGGGCAGCAGTCTAGGGAAATACGGGCAGCAGTCTAGGGAAATACGGGCAGCAGTCTAGGGAAATACGGGCAGCAGTCTAGGGAAATACGGGCAGCAGTCTAGGGAAATACGGGTAGCAGTCTAGGGAAATACGGGCAGCAGTCTAGGGAAACACGGGCAGCAGTCTAGGGAAATACGGGCAGCAGTCTAGGGAAATACGGGCAGCAGTCTAGGGAAACACGGGCAGCAGTCTAGGGAAATACGGGTAGCAGTCTAGGGAAATACGGGCAGCAGTCTAGGGAAATACGGGCAGCAGTCTAGGGAAATACGGGCAGCAGTCTAGGGAAATACGGGCAGCAGTCTAGGGAAATACGGGCAGCAGTCTATTGATCAAGACAGCTGTGGAGTGGAAGAAACAGCGCTCAGTTCCTTGGAGTGTAGAGAGAGTGACAGTTCTTGGAGTGTGTGTGGAGAGGGGTACTCACTCTCCAACCTTGAAGACGAGTACTTGCGAGATGTTGAGAGCAGCAGCTATGCAAGGACTGACGCAGGAGACGAAAGTAACTTCGTGGCGGGGCCCATTGACTCAAGTTTACCTTTCAAGTTGAGTTAGCTGATCAGACGAGCTGTGGGTCTGTGTGGGCAGACCATACGAGCTGTGGGTCTGTGTGAGCAGACCAGACGAACTGTGGGTCTGTGTGAGCAGACCAAACGAGCTGTGGGTCTGTGTGGGCAGACCAAACGAGCTGTGGGTCTGTGTGAGCAGACCATACGAGCTGTGGGTCTGTGTGGGCAGACCAGACGAACTGTGGGTCTGTGTGGGCAGACCAAACGAGCTGTGGGTCTGTGTGAGCAGACCAGACGAGCTGTGGGTCTGTGTGGGCAGACCAAACGAGCTGTGGGTCTGTGTGAGCAGACCAGACGAGCTGTGGGTCTGTGGGGGCAGACCAGAGGAGCTGTGGGTCTGTGTGAAATTTTCAGAGGAGTTGAAAGGTCGGGTGAAGTGATCAGGCGAGCGATACCCTGTATCGTATAAGGTCCATCACATAATAGGCACGATAGCTGTTATCGTAGGAGATTCATCACATTATGGAGTCTGTGCGCATGCGCCCCTCCTCACCCACTTCCCCTGATTATAATTCCCAGAGCATGGCACCGCCGAGGTCTCCCGCCCCGCTACCTTACCCGTACCTCTCGAGTAGCTTACACACACGCACGCATGCGCGCACACATACACAAAAGAAAGAAAGAAAGAGAGAGAGAGAGACAGAGAGAGAGACAGAGAGAGAGACAGAGAGAGAGACAGAGAGAGAGACAGAGAGAGAGACAGAGAGAGAGACAGAGAGAGAGAGAGAGACAGAGAGAGAGACAGAGAGAGAGACAGAGAGAGAGACAGAGAGACAGACAGAGACAGAGACAGAGACAGAGAGACAGAGAGAGACACGCCCTCGGTAACATTAGCATGCACCACCAAGTTCATTCTTCACCAGTATGTAAACACAGGTATAATTGGAGAGCAGTGTAGCCACTTTCGTAAAGTCTCTCACCTTGAGGTTACAGTGACTGAGTGTAAGAGGTGACGTGATGCTCAAGTACGCAAGTGAGCCTATAATTACCTGTTAAGGATTTCCAGAGTTGTTCTCCCGCAGCCTCGCCTCTGGCCATTACGACGACAATCTAACCTAACTTGTTCACGATTTCGAGTTTCTGTACTCGGCAGCCGGGGTCAGGATTCATCAAGAATTCAAGCAACCATTTACGAAACCTGTGCATCTTTCCTCAATACTTGGACCTGATTTCGAGAGTTCTCATATTCCCCGAGCCCGGCCTGAGGCCAGGCTTGACTTGTGATACCTTGGTCCAACAGGCTGTTGCTTGGAGCGGCCCGCAGGCCCACATGTCCACTACAGCCTAGTTGGTCCGGCACTTCTTGCAAGAACCTGTCCAAGCGCCTCTTGAATACCTCCACCTTCGTTCCGGCAATATTTCTAATGCTTGCTGGGAGGGTGTTGAACAACTGTGGACCTCTGATGTTCAGTGTTCTCTGATTGTGCCTATGGCACCTCTACTCCTCACTGGTTCTATTCTACATTTCTTTCCGTACCTTTCGCTCCAGAAAGTTGTTATTCTATTGTGCAAATTTGGGACCTGGCCTTCTAGTATTTTCCACGTGTATATTATTAGTATCTCTCTTTCGTCTTCTTTCAATAGAGTACATTTGGAAAGCTTTGAGACGATCCCCAATAATTTAGACGTTTTACAGTTTCTATGCGTGCCGTATATGTTCTCTGCATTCCCTCTAATTCAGAGATCTTTCCCACTCTGAAATGGGACTTGAATACCGAGCAATACCTAAGACGGGTCAGCACCAGTGATTTAATTAGTGTTAGCATTGCTGCGGGGTCCCTGGATGTGAACGTTCTCATAATCTATCCTTTCATTTTCCTGGCCGCCGCCGCCGCTATATTTGCTCGGTTACGTTCACTAAATGTCAGGTCGTCAGACATCATAATTCCCAGATCTTTTACATGTTACCTTCTTTCTATGAGTATGTCTGTGTCCAGTACCCTGTGTTTCGTTCAAGTTCCTCGTTTCCACCATACCTCAGTACCTGGTACTTGTCACCGTTGAACATCATGCCCTCAGTAATATAAAACAAGTACACAAACGTTACCGCGGAACATTCAAACTAAACGAGACAAAACTACCAACAGTGGGATCGAACCGTGTTGCAGAAGACTCCGGTGCCACGAATTACCAACTAGCCTGCCCCCCTTCACAGTGTTTAAGAGGCACCGTGATAATCACCTCCGAAGTACACCCTGATCAACAGGTATACTTCCCAGGTGAGCCAGCGAGCAGGTGCGTCTATCCTCCCCTGGTTGACCTGACCGCCAACCAGGTCGGTACCTGCAGGTTACGCCAGTTTAGTCACACACACGTCACCCT